GATCCCTTAGTTGATTCAATAGCGCCTACGTTTTACTTGTGTTCATTCTTGATGTTATCAACCGTGATGCATGTATCCCAGTCTTTTTGTTGTAGGCAAATGAGGATATCCTTCTTACAATCGTCGAATTTGATTTCTGTTTTCTCTTTCTTTGATGAAACACACCTGGTACATTTGGCATTATCATCCATCGTGTCACTTTATCAGCAATTGATAAAGAGCATCTTCCTCAACATTTCGATTATTGTTTTCTAGGAAGAAGAAGATGCCATCTGCAAAGAGTGCACCAGGTGCATTGGCAAGTAGATATTCATTTTCTAATCCATACTTTTCAAAAGACCTCAGCCATTGATGTTCCAATTGCAATAATGTCAGGTTGCAGAGCTTGACATTCAAATTTTTGGTCTTATTTCTGCCATAGGCCCCCTTAAAGAAATTTCCAAGAGTTGTTGTGTGATTGTCTAACTCAATTAAAAGATTAGCACGATAGGTTGTAAACTTATTACCAATGATTTCCTAATCTTGCCATTGACCAGTCCAGCACTTTAAGAACGTCTTGCCTAAATTTGATTTGATATCAAAAAGAGTTGCATTGTACAAGTAGAGGAAGATGAATGGGATTCGAACATATAGTTTATCAATTTGCAAGGCCCTGTTGCAACTTCACTGATTCATCATTTTCTGTGGACTCGTAGCAATCTTCCAGAATTGTGTGTAATATGACACGGTTGATTTTAAAAAACTCCCTAAATGGAAGAGCAGCATGGCAAAATTGCTTGAAATATTTTCCCTGACGCGTCATCACTCGACATCATCACATTAAATCAAATAAATTTTTGACCTTTGTTTGCCAAATTTCTGCCATTGTAATTAGAAACCAATATAATGGTCTACTTCATCGTGTTATAATAAGACAGGAGAAGAGGCTTTCTATAAAGTCCATCAATCTCTGGGTAGATTTCAATCTTTAACATTAAACACAAGTGTTAAAAGGCGCTTCGCTCAAACGCGAAGGTTTAGGGTCCTCCCATATTACAGACAAACATTGCGCTTAGCAGTCACCTGATCGATCAACAATGGCATAGTTTTCGTATAGCACGATTTCCAACATACCCACATGACTAGCTATTTGACACTATACGCGGACTACACACAGGAGCTTTAAATATCTTTGTGCTTTCTGTCTCAAGCAGTAAGGCTCATGCAAAACGAGAGCGTTCTTACAGATTCTCTTTCAGTTTTTGGTAAACTGTGAATAGTTCTGACTTTGAACAACATTTTTCACTTTGTTTACTAGAGCAACAGTCTTCGAGAAAATGAATGAAGATTTCGTAAGTAGTACATGTATATGGGTAAAGCGAGAGGGGTAATGGAGACTATTCTGTCAGCAAGCCACTAGAGTTTTCCTTACATGCTTTGAAATACAACTTTCATGATATATAACGACTGCTTGTCGAAGACGCGAAATCAATCTTCGTCGTCGATGATCACTACTCAACAACGAAGAATCCAATGCTTATGAAATCCACATGCTTGTTAATGATGACTGCCATCCATGTGGGCGCAGAAAGTTGATTAAGTACTATTTAAATGTGAGTATACCGATTCGTTTGATTTTTCGATTACGCAAAATCAATTTTCGTTGTCGATAATCACTAACTCGGCAAGCAAGAATCGTATGCTTGTAAATTTACATGCTTGTTAAAAGTAATTGTTATCCATGTATGTGCGAAAATTGACACAGAATGTTAAGTACGATTCTGAATTTGCATATAACAATCTACTTGATTTTTCGAAAAACGCGAAATCAATCTTTATCGCTAGAATTCCTAATCAGCAACCAGGAATCCCATGCTTATAAACTTTACATGCATGCACGTTAAAAGTAATTGTTGTCCACGTTTGTGCAAAAAATTGACAAGTACGATTTTGAATTTGCATATAACGATCTGCTTTAATAGATTTCGCGTGTTCGAAAAATCAAGCGAATTGGTATAGTCACATGTAAATAGAACTTGGTATTCTGTATCAATTTGCATAAGCATTGGATTCTTGGTTGTAGAGTTAGTGATGAAATTGGTTTCAACTTAATGTTGCTAGTCAGGAAATAGCAGCTCATAACAAAGAACGATTGTGTTGATATTGCCTATATCTGTGCTATTTGTAATGGGGATTTAGAAAACAATATTCTTCCTTATTGTGATAGGTTAAATAGGAATAAGAGAGGTTGTTTCTGTGAGTTGTTAAAAGACAAACCTACTCGATCAGTTTCTGAAAACACTTTAATTGCTCAGTCATTCACTTCTCAATTAGAAGGCAAAATCAAAGAACTGGAAAAGGAACTATCTGCTAATAAAGAAGTATTAAAAATCAAAAAGAGAAAAAATTGCAAAATTTCATGAGAAGTCTGAAGAGTGAGGTGAAAGACAAAAGCAAGAGTTATTAGACAAAATTAAGCAACAAGAAGCAGAGATTGAACGTTTAAAAAAATCAACTCATCAAGAACTGATTAATGAAATAGAATCTTATAAGAAGTTGTTTTGAAAGTGAGTTACGGGTTTTGATAATTTTATCCAAAATGAAGGAGACTTTCGACGAGTAAATTTTCGAGCTAACGATGGTGACGTCAAATGTTCACAGTGTGTCCCAAATGAGGGATATTCGTGAGAGGCTGAGGACGAGTGTTGGGGTTATACTGTATTTGTTTGCCATATCAGTTAACAGTGGAGTATCGGGTATTCCCAGCAACTATGATTGTTTGCTATACAAATCTTTCTCAGTCAGTGCAATCATCAGTTTTCTCATAATGGGAGACTGATACAGTTGACGGGGGGAAATATCCTACAAGTTTGTTTACGAGAAAATTTGAATCCCATGCTACCCAGAGGAGGTTATGGCAATTTTGCCGCCTTACTATAAGAGTTATCGATAAACTTCTGTCCTTGCAAACATATGACGTATACACATTTTCGATAGACATGATGTTCTCCGCCATTTTTATCCATGTTTAGTAAGCTTGTCTGTTACAAATAAAAGAATCGCTCGCCGCATACCTTGGCGTGTTTTGTACCGTAAGCGTTTTCGCTTTATTTACTTTTTATAGATATTTCTATACTTTTTTCTTGCCTACTATAATCCAGTCAACTTCGAAAAGACAAATCATTAGTTCTCGATAGATTTTTGCAAATTCGTGGTTTAGCGTCTCGCACTGGTTTACTGAAAATTTGTGGTTGACGTGACTATATTTTTGGTGGAAATTCGTTCCTCGACCTTGTTGCAGTATCAAGAACATAGTTATTTATAAAACATTGCTAACTTATGCAGCCGAAATTATAAATGCATATGACATTCTAGATGTATAGTGTCTTGTTTATTTCGTTAGTAAGAGATTCTGTATGAAAATTGCTCGTGAAAACACAAGTGATAAGGTACTTTTTTACATTAACGTCTCACATATGACAAAACGGATAATGCGCTGAGCGATCAGGGTTTGTAAACCTTTTTCCTCACAAGTTCATCACTAAAACTAATGTGTTCCTCGATGCAACAGCCCCCTTCCGTCCAAGTCTTCTGCTGTCAGTTTATTTACAGTCTCACAGTCAAATTAATAAAACACAATGACGAAAATCCTACTTGTCTTAAATGAAATATTTATTATACTCGGAGGTTAACTCCTTGTAAACTGCTTGTGTAATATTTGCCGAGCTTATTTAAAAGTATTTTAACATTAAAGTTTGTCATTGCTATTTAGCCAATTTAAAATCCTGAGCAAAAAACTTTTCGCCTTTTGACTATGAGGAAACGTGGGTAACATAAGAAATTTAGTATCCTATTGATTCTAGACTTCCCACATCTGATTTTTTCGTGTGAATAACTATAATAAAAGGGTTTTTAAGTAATACAAATATCTTTTGGATTTATTCAGAGTGCTTTAAAGGATTAAATTGCTAGTTAGAGTTCCAAGGAAAGAATATTCCTCAGCTAGACATTCGAGTCAGTTTTTGGACAATAAAATTTATAAATACAAGAATCAGATAAGAAACAAAACCAAAGAACAATCCATATTGAGAAGGAATTCAATTATTTCTTCTTCTCTTGATACTAATACCTTGCGTCAGCATGGTATATTACACTTGAAAATGACCGACTTTTAATACCATTACGGAGAACGCTATAGGTATGTTCCATCCCTTACAAGCGAAGGTAGATGGATGTTTGAATACTACAAGTTACTATTGTTTGATAAAGTTTACAAGTAGGACAATGAAATGATTTGTTTGGTTGCCACTTCTTTATCAATCCTTGTGCTTGCGAACAAAGACCAAGTTTGGTTATTTTCAGGATAATTATGTCAACCCACGATTTGCGATGCGATGATTAATGCATACCATTTATTATTCACTGAACTTTTGTCCTGCGAATCTATCAATGATGCTCGTTCGAGAACCCATGCATTCTCTTTACGTTTCGAATCCTTGGATTCTAACATTCGATAGCATACATTGATGGAAAAAAAAAGGTTGTGATTAGGCGCGTAATCGACGTGCGTCAGTGCGTCAGTGCGCTGGGGACAGTCCATACAGTCAAAAGACATAGAAGGTTCGATAGAAGTATCAATGATAATAGAATGTCTGTCTAAATTACAATGCGAATCGTGCGTAAAATTACTTGTGTTTGCGTGAACACTAATTAACTCTTCTCAAAGGGATTATCTCCTGCACTCATTGCCTAAAATGAGAGGGGTTATTTTAACGATAACACAACGGAACACTCGTTACACATTAGTCGACTCCCTTCTAATGACCCCAACGTACTACTGGAAAGAGTTATCGAGAACGTGGTTCGGCAGCCTCAATACGCATTTACATCGATCACATGGCGAAGTTTAAAAAACAAAAATCTCTCATCTGTTCCTTATATATCAGATCCTCCTCTCATAAAAAACACAAGAATCTCAAATCCAAAAAGTGCACCGGCGAACGTTTGGTGTTTATGTCACAATGTCACTAAGAACCCCCGAATATTTGCTTAATACTCTTAGACATCCAATTCCCGCTTATCGCTTATTACCAAATGACCAAATAGGTTATAGCGAGACGTCGGCACTAACTAACATGCCGTCGATGAAATTGGAGGGGTATGGGAACGTTGGAAGTAGGTATGCAGTCGAGAGGGATGAAAGTCGAAGTCGAGGACCGGGAAGACGCATTTGGAGTCATTCGGAAACGAAGTATTTTCTCAGTGTCATGAGAAAATATTATAATAAAGTGACAATAGCACCCACAAATAATCAAAAGGGAGAAATTTGGGATAAAGTCGTGGAAGAACATAATAAATATTTCGCCGAACGAACAAAACGTTCTTGTCAGGTATGTTTGGTAATAAGGCGGATGAGGAAAGAGAGAGAGAGCGAAACAAAAAAGTGGGTTGCATTTCTCGACGATGATTACTTTCCACGATTGTACATAGCATATGTAATTATATAATAGTGATTAGCCGATTAGGCCTACAAAGTTAAAAGTCTGTACATAATTATGTGCGCATACATGCAGTAGGATTTATTTGTTGGAATTAATTCGCTATCTAATAATAAATTAATGACTTTTTGCGTTAACTATCCGTGTTTCTTTTTTTTTTTCTTCTTCTTTTTTGATTCGTTCTACTCACTTGTCTGTTGTGTGTAGCAACAATGGGACCGTTTGATTGGCCGGTACAGGTCAGCAAAAGGTCCACTCCAATTTGAATATGGAGAGGAGATGCGATCGATTATAGGGGATGCAGAAAACCAACAAACGGATCCAGCTCACGAGGCTCACTTGGCAAAACACGATGTTGCCACCCCTCACCATCATCATAATCACGCGGAGGAAGATCCCAACAAGCCGCCGCTGCCACTAACACTTGAACCACCCCCAAATAACCATGCCATGTACGATCATACATACAATTGTAACGCAATATACGGAAGGGCCGGTTCGCCTGTAAGGCGAATTAGATCAGCGACTGTTGAAGAAGAGGAGGACATGCCTCAACGAAAGAGGCAATCTACAATAGAAAGATTGTTGGGTTTGTTGGAGAAGCATATTGCAGATGAACAGGACAGGAGATTGATAGAATCTCAACGATGGGAAGAGCAGATGCGTCGCATGGAAGAAGTAATCGGATCTATAAACAAGTTGACAGATGCGCTAACAGAAATAAAGAATAAATAAACAACAACGAACATATTATATAACTTTTTCGTCCCAGAAAATTCTAATCAAGTTTGCTTATATCTATGGTTCGCAAAAGATGGGGTGGAGGGGTAGAGATTTGCCTTGATATATTAATAGACAACAATTTCAAACAATTGGTTAAACCCCTGTAAATCAGTTTATATCTAATCAAGTGTACGAGTTCCGTGTGGGCCTTGGCAATTGACTTTTTGGACAACTAGTCCATTCTGTTCATGCCTTGTGCGCTTGAATTCATTCGTGCCCACACGTGGCCAATTACCAGTTTCCTTCTTCGGGCACAAAGTTATTTGTAGAACGGCCGAACACAATCCCAGTATCTCACTAAACTTTATTTGGTATGAACACCGGACACGAATTAATAACCGTTTTCAATAGATAATTGCCCATCTCACGCTCCACAATTCATTTCGTTTCCTTTCTCTTCCCTTCCGCTCATTACATTCTTTTTCATAGCCCTATATTTCCCTTCCTCCACACCCCCCCACCCTCATCACTCCGCGACACTCAAGTGTCACTACACAATCCTTTCTACCATATACCCTACTGTCGACAAAAAACATCTTGCACTGTGTAGACTACATACCCTGCACATCTAATTGTTATAGAGGTAAGAGGGCTATTACAAACGGAATTTCGTCCGAAAACATAATTTAGACCGGTGCATAGCTATATATGGGCAAGGAAGAAAAAGTCAACGAATTCTTATAGGAGAACAGCTTTCGTTGACCATGGTCAATATATTGTATGCTTGTCGCGCTATTATAGTTTCCATAATGTAGAAACTGACCTCCCGTTTCTTCATATTCAGAAAATGGGCGATCCAAACGCTAGCGACTGGTTAAAATCACAGCAAAAGGCCTCCCGCAAGGCGCGCTGGCTAGTGGGCATTCTCGGGTTAGTGGTTCTCCTCGGTATTGTCGGGGGCGTGGGCTATGCTGTTGTCAGCAAATCGAACAGCCCAAATTCCGACAAAAGTGTTACTTCTAACGGCGGCAATGGACCCCAGGGCGGTGGTGGTGGTGGTGATGGAAACGGTGGAGTCGGTGTTGATGGCAACGGAAATACGGTTTATTACACTTGGGACGGTAAACCGGTCAACCTTACAATCACACCTAATCCAGCTCTTCACAAATCATTATATGGAATAAATTACGGTCCTGTCAATGCTACATACCCGTGGTGTACCAATACACTTGGAGATGTGATTGAAGACATTAAACTACTATCACAACTCACCAACCGCATTCGGTTGTATGGAATGGACTGCCAGATGGCAAACATGACTCTTTGGGCCATCAAGCTTCTTAACGTCAACATGACGGTAATTCCTACCATCTGGGTTGACAACAACGCAACGACATATCAAAGACAGTACAACAGTCTATTTACTCTCATCAATGACCATGGCGTAGACAAAATCGACGGTATTTCGGTCGGTAATGAAGGTAAGGTTTTGATAACCATTAAATGAATATACGTACAAGCCATTAACAGTAAGCTGAAAAATGAAAACTTTACTCACTCTAAAAAATTTGCCTTTACCTTGTATAGTTCTCTTCCGTAAAGAAATCACCCCACAAGATCTGTTTAACCGCATTGCAGACGTTCGTCAGAAAGTAAATGCACTCCCCAACGTCAAAAAGAAGGTTCCTGTGTTTACATCCGATCTCGGTTCGAACGTAAATGACGCACTCGTTGCTGCAGTCGATATCGCGTTGGCTAATGTTCATCCATACTTTGGTGGAGTCCCGGCTCAACAAGGCGCTAACTGGACATTCGAATTCTTCCAACAGAATGACGTCGTTGTTGCGGCAAAAGCTGGTAAAGAAGCCATCATATCGGAAATTGGTTGGCCGACCGCTGGTAATTCCCAGCAAGCTGCGGTTGCTTCTGTGCCAAATCTCAACGACTTTATCCAAAGTTTCATCTGCGCCGCTAATACGAAACAAGTAAAATATTACTATTTCGAGTCTTTTGATACACCATGGAAGACTGCAATGTTTACTCTTTTGGAGGGCAGTTGGGGTCTATTTACTCCTGATCGCAAGTTAAAGGATGTGACGATTCCCGACTGTCCACCAACAGCCCCAGGTTTTAATGGTTTCTCTTAATTGCCTTCCCCTTGGAGAATGTTTAAAATTTTCTCCTTTGTAATTAGATATGACGTATAGTCTAATAATGTTTGTATCGAGAGAATAATTCTCGCAGGAAAGTTATTAATTTTATTTATTTGTATCAATTTACACGAGCGGAAAACATCCCAATAATGTCGTTTGTTATTGAATAATAAACCGAGACACCTTTCTCTCAATCTACATAATAGTAAGACAGTCATATCTACAAACCCTTAAGGATAGACTAATTAGATGTAGAAATATTTTTGTTTTTATCTCCGGTTAAGTTTTGACACGCAATTTTTATCTTTATAAAATGGATAAAGGGGCATTCGAAATTCGAACCCGATATCGTTTATAGAAAGATGAGAGATGTAATTCAAGTATACCGGGAACCGTATTTATTCGTCTTAATATTTTACACGCTATATGCGGTGCATGATAGATCAATAAATTTGAAGCATAGGCGTAAAGTTGCAACTGTTATTTTTAACAAAGCAATGAAAATTCGACACACTTAACACTGTATGCATGCTAATTTTGGTATCAACAAAAATCTTGATTTAAATAGACTCTTTATTCTCCAGTAAAGTACATATCTTGTTTCAAACAATTAGTCGTCAAAACTATTCCGAGAACTTACCACAAGGGTCTCAACACATCAAATATGCTAGCACTGCGGTGCCCCTCATTTTATTCTATTATTAAAGAGATTGTAACCCTACTAGAATATGATCCAAATTGAGTTAGTCGATATTCTGTACCTCACCGCGCTAATCTAAAAAAATACGACTAATCATTCAAACATAATTTGAAACACTTTCAAGTTTTTCGCGTGATCATCTACAAAGAATGCAAGCATTTATCTGTTTAGAATGACCCTGAAAATGAATCACTTGTGTAGTAATTGTAATTGACAAAACCAAGTCTGTTTATTTATGGAGGATGTTGATAACCAGCCGATTCCTTCATTCTAATATTAATATGCAAAAAACATCAAATTCAGTCGGCTTTACTTTTAACCGCTATCATATGTAAAAGAAAGATAAGTAAGCACAGAGTTGTATGGTGGGGGACACATATACGCATCAAAATTGTTTTCAATTTTCAAGGGGAAATCATTACTGAAAATGTCAATGATCAACAATAGTAATTTTATAATTTTTATTCAAAAATCGTTTCAGGGCCTACCCATTATTACAATTTAATATTAAAGACGAAAATTTTTCGTTCTA